CCCCATCTTCCTGCCCCTGCAGCCCCTCTGGGACTCCCCTTGGTGACCAGACTGCGGTCCCCCCTCGTCCCTGCCCTCACCGGTCGCAGATCCAGCCCCTGTTGCTCATGGGCCGCTTGCAGTTGCTGCAGTTGACGTGCAGGGTGGTGGAAGCCTGGTTGAGGCAGTTGATGGCACGGCAAGTGCTCAGCTTGATCACTTCATTGGAGATGTTCCAGAGCTGGAAGCGCTGCAGCAGGTCGATGTAGGAGGTGTACCAGTGCTCCTGGGGAGGGGCACAGACAGCTGAGCCTCGACAGCCCCCTCCCCAAAATCCCCACTTGGATCCCAGCCCCACATCCCAAAGGCAAGATCCCTGTGGCAGCGGGACCGCTCTGGGGGGCCGGGATGGTGTCCTTCCACAAATCAACAGGCCAGCGCCTCTTCCCCATCCTGGCCCCACAGACAAACCGGGTACCAGGGGTCCTGGAGCTGCCCATCCCAGCTTAGAGCAAGTCTGGCAGGGGCTGGAGGAGAGGAGAAGTGCCCAGAGCCCAGGTGTGTCCCAATGCAACGGGATCCCACCACCCCTGGGGCCCACCAAGACGTCCTACTGCATCTCCCGGGGTTGAACCCAGTCCTGAAGGGAGGGTTCAGTTCCTACACAGGCAGGAAGGGCCTTCCCGGCATCTACCTGGGTCTGCTCATCGATCTCCTTGCGGATGCGGTCTCCCAGCACGATGAGGACGGACACGGCCGTCTGCACGTCTCCCTGCTCTGCGTAGAAGAGGAGAGTGTCCCGCACGATGGGATTGAAGAAGTCGGAGGGCAGGCGGTTCTCGTAGAGCGAGTGGGAGATGGAGATGAGGGAGAAGGACTCCACGGGTGTCAGTGACACCGTCTCGGCCTCGTTGCCGCTGACGTGAGGCGAGTCAGCCTTGTCTTGTAGGTGGTCCAAGGCCGATGGGTTGTCCACGATTTCGTGGCGCAGGGGGAAGGCCTCTTGGGGAAGGCTGTATTCCTGCTCTTCAGCTGTGAGGAGAGATCAGGAATGAGTGGGGAATTCCGGGAGAAAATCCAGTTG